AGTCAGGTATTACATGCGTAGACAGTGACACGACAATTAAGAATTGGAAAGTGACATGTCACAACAGATAAATTACGAAAGCCTCGATGCTAGTAGCCAAGGAGGTTCCATACTCAAAGATCGTTGCGCATACTTTTGTCTTGTACACTCAAAAGCGAGGGTATCCGGCTCTAGATCAGGCGTGGGGCATCGCGGCCAGATCGAGCATGGCAGAAGACCATTGGCAATGTCTCGAGGAGTTCCGACAACCGGTAGTTTGTCGTCCAAGGAGAAATTTGTCGTAGATTTAAGAATAATCCCACTTACCTGTGGAACACGTGCCTTGCTTCGCAGCTATATTGAGCTTCTCTGATTGTAAGAGCCGAAGTATACCTTAGGTAGGCTTGGGCTGTTCGATGTCTTAAACTGTTTGCGTAACTCTGTACTAGTATGCATGGCTCTGGACTAGTATACGGTAGGCTTTGTGAAACGAGGCATCGCAGGTTTATACTGTGTAGGCAAACCAAAAAAATTCAAGCATGAAATGGCGGTGGTGGTAGAATTTAATTAGCTGTGGGTGTCTATAAGCCATAGGGCTGCGCCTCATGGATACTACCTAGCCACATCTTTAATTGCTTTACCCCTTATGCCAAGATGGAGGGCGAAACGACATCAAAACTATATCATCCATACCGGTAGAACTCATACTGACTTCTTCAGAATTGGGAGTTCAAGAAGAGATATCTTATATAGTCTAGTGACTCTGTGCTTTTTGACACGAGACTGGATGCCAATGGGTGAAATGTTATCACTCAAATGAGATCGGATCATACCATGGAATAATGACTGCATACGACTCAATGCCAGATCGTATTACGGCACATATTCGCTAACCTCTCTCTTCATGTTGTCAGGTATGAGGCAGGCACTTTATCTACCTCTTTTGGCTGGAACGATGCAGCCCTGTACATAAGAGGCCATGTAATCGGCGAGCTGATGTTCGGTATTTCGAGTGTTTACCTCGCAGCCTCGTTTGCTTCAAGGTAGGCAGCACGGTAGGTAGTTATAAGTTCCACTTGTACCGTTTTTCACAGTTATGCTATGTAACCACTGACCATTGCATGGGAAATGGATGGAAGCTACTATTTTTTTCTCCACATGCGACTTCCAATGTCTTCTTCATTTTGGTTGCGGCTGATCGGCCGGGTCAACATGGCCGGTAACTCCGAAAGCTTCGGGGACCTCCTTGAAAGGCTAATGTGGCTCAAGACTCACCCTTCTGTGACCTCGTGCCTTTTATGAAAACCGTAAGCTGCTACTACTGCAGTCTTCTCTTCATGGCATTCTCCTGGAAATACATTGCCCGGTCGTACTCCCTGGGTGGTGTCAGTACCATTGCCTTCATTGTGGTGTTCTTGATTCTGCACCTCCAGGAGTATCAAGGATCTGCCATTGGTATGACTACTCTTCACTTATCTATATCCAGAAAGCTACATTCCATACAGTATTAATTCTAATCAACTAGTAGGCCAACATGATCCGTATCGCTGTCGGGCTTTGTTACAGGAAGGCCGGTGGTCACCGTCCCATCCTGACAGCCACAAGTGGGAGCCAAGCGGATGTCGCATGATTGAATACTCTAGAAAAGCTTTCCATGAATGCCTCAACCGACGGAAAGTCGTATTTGCGGGAGACTCTATAATCCGGCAGATTTTCTGGGCCGCTGCCAAGAGACTCGACCGTGGTCGGGCTGAGCGTGATATCGGAAGCGCTCTTGTAGCTCACGGACAACATCATGACCTCTCATTCGAGGCTGATGGTGTGAGTCTCGAATTCATATGGGACCCCTGGCTGAATTCAACTACTCTGGATGAAAGGTTAACAACATTCCGTACTCTACCTACGCCTGTGGACGAGGGTGTCGTCAGAAGTGAAGATGAGGAGTCCGCTGCCCTCATCCTCGTTGGCTCTCCGGGGCTCTGGGCCGCCCGTTACGGTGAAGAAAACTACCTGATTCTTTTCAGACAGGGAATAATGGGCATCGCACCGCACCTCTCATCCACTTTGGATGATAGCATTTCATCATCGACGTTCAGTCCCGGCAGTTACGATAATGTTGCAAACCAGATCTTGCTAGCCCCTGTACATATCCCATCATACAACAATTTGTCCTCTAACAGGTCCAGGACTATCACACCAGAGCGTATTCACAAGATGAACAATTATCTCGCTCATCTTCCCCCAAAGCAACTATCACATATACCCTGGGTATACAACCAAATGTCAACAGCCTATCCGGGGAACTACTTTGACGACGATGGTCTCCACGTGGCCGATAATATCGCAGAACGCAAGTTAGACATCGCCCTCAACACCCGTTGCAACGCCGCAGCAAAGGCTCATAACCGCTCGTTCAAGGGCACGTGCTGCGTTACTGAGTCGCAAAGCGTTCTCAAATCATCGGCATGGTGGTTATGGGGTCTTATGATGTATTGCCGGATAGCAACACCTTGCTTTTCTACCTTCAAACGTAGAATCCCACTATTCGTCAACGGCACCAAGGCAATTGGAGATCTACTCTTTGCGCTCTTATGGTGTGTGTTTTGCGATGGAACCAATCGTATAAGCAAAGTGGAGCGCCATTACCAACAGAATCAATTCATAAGAGTTTGCTTGCTCTGGCTGGTCGGCAGCTTGTTGACGGTACAAAGGAGCGGGCGGCCAAGCTATAAATACCCTATGGCAACCAAAAGACCTAGAGAGGAGCCTCTGATATATCGTGGTCCGGGCTATTTATCTCGTGATCAGTCCGATGAAATCAAAGGCTTAATGCAAGGACTTATCCTCCTCTACCACTACAACTACGCATCTCAGACTCTGTGGGTATACAAGATTGTCCGACTGCTCATATCTATGTACTTCTTCCTATCCGGATACGGCCACACGCTATATTTTCTAGAAAGGAATGACTACTCCCTCCGCCGAGTTGTTCTAGTTCTATTCCGCCTCAACCTTCTGAGTGCTCTTCTCCCTTACGCAATGGGAACCGACTACAGTTCATATTACTTCGCCTCAGTTATCACTTTTTGGTATCTGGTGCTTTATGCCACGCTCCGTTTCTACCGGAGCTACAACTGCGACCTACGTTACCTCTTCACGAAGATAATAGTAGCCGCCGCCATAACGGACCGCTTGATATCGACGCCCGGCATCCTCGAAGGCTTTGTCAGGGTAACCCACACCATCTTCCACATGTCCTGGAACGCGCAAGAGCTGCGCTTCCGGCTGAGTCTCGACCGCTACATCGTCTACGCAGGCATCATAGTGGCCGCACTCGTGCACTACGCCGCCATCCGACAAGCCCACAAACTGTCCTTCCCCCTCGGCGGCCGCGCCAGGCCGCACCATCGCCGGTCCCGCTCCTCCCCCTTGCATCCCCGCAACAAACACATCCTCCTCAACACCGTCTGCGCCGCCGCCACCATCGCCTTCTTCTACGCCACGCAGACCCAACTCCACCGGAAGCAGCACTACAACCACGTGCACCCGTTCGTCTCGTGGATCCCGATCGTCGGGCTCGTAGTCCTCCGCAACGGGGTCGGGGGCGGGGCCGGGAGCGAGGACGTGTTCCGCAGGGACAACTACTCCCATTACCTGGCGCTGCCGGCCGCGCTCCGGCGCTTCTCCCTCGAGACGTATGTATTGCAGTACCACGTCTGGCTCGGCGGCGACGCCACCGCGCGCCTCCGCCTCGGCTGCCCCGGCGCCTACGGCTGGGTCGTCGACAAGGTCCTGCTTACCGTCCTCTTCGTCTACGTCGCGGAGCGCGCGCACCGCGCCACGAGCGTTCTCGCGGGCTGGGTCACGCCGCGCGGGGGGCTGGTGTTGCTGCTGGGGCTGTGGGGGGCTAATGTTTTGTTTGCGTGATGAGTCTGCCCCAGTCAGTCAGTCAGTCAGTTAGTCAGTCTTGGGGTGGCGATGGTGGTGGTGGTGGGGATGTAGGTAGGGAGGGGGAAGGTGATAGGTATGGTATCATTTTATGTAGGCATCGTGCGTCAAATGAATGAAGCGCTCGGGGTGGATAATGTGGTAATTGTTATAGCTTTATGCCCGTATGTAATGTGTATGGCTGGCTGGAGTTTCCGGCTTGTCATTTATATCAAGTTTATTTCGCAATGAAAAGAAAAGCATTCTAGAAGTATTGGCTTGCTGCGTTTGGGCTCTTTATGATTATCATCTCATCGGGGTGTTGCTGGCTAGTTTTCTATGCATCTTGGTATTAATATTTGATTGTCGCCGCTGTAATACCTCGTTTCTTTCATTATGATGCTGGGCAAGCGCTCGACGGGTTCACGGGTTAGGAGCTAGGCATATGAAGGTTGTCCGCTTAGACACGAAGCACATGCGTATGTATGTGTGTCTTACACTTTTATGCGAGTATGGATTATCAAGGGCGCCCTGGTGTGCGCCTCGTGTCAACGAGGAACTAGCCACGGCATTGTTCAAAGTCCAGCCATTCACTATGGGAGACATCAGTACTACACCATGGGCATAATGTACGTGATGTTAATAAACTAGAACAGATTAAGAACTTCAAGACTGTTACTATTGCTGTTGCTGCTACTGCTGTTATGGCGGGTAGGTATGGATGCATGGCATCAGTATCTACCTTGCATACGTGATCGTGTTGTAGCTAGTGGTTGGTGATAGTGGAGGTATCAATATCGTGTAAGAGACATCTACAGTCTACCTGAGTAGCACGGTATTCATGGGGATAGGCTTCTCGAGCCTCTAGGTAGGTAGGTAGGTAGGTAGACACCCGCCGAAGCAGCAAACTCGAACGCCTAGCTATAGGCCATATACTCCCATATATCCCCCAAAGCATAGCGTGCAGTCTACATGCGCAGTACGTACCGGCGTACCTTCCTCCCTTCCTCTGACGCAACCCCCAGTGCACGGGCGCGGTGTCGACGACAGGTTGATAAATGCCAATAGGTCGGCGACCTTCCAACAAAGCCTCTGGCCCGGTGGTGTAGTGGTTTAACACGCCCCAGCCCTGTGATTCCTGTGTAATACATGTATTTGGCAGCAGTGGGACCAGGGGGAAAAACAAGCACAGTAAGGACGCTCAATTTGTGGGTTCTGGGGGACATTTAGGAGTCGATGGGTTCTCTGGGGAGCCGCAGGTTCAAATCCTGTCTGGGCCAATTCTTTTTTTATATTTTTATTATTTATATGTACTATTATTTTTCCCCTTAATGTATTTTTTATCATTATTACCTACTGTCCCCTTATATCTCCTCCCAAGTAGGCAAGGCACTCCAGATGGACAGACACTTGTATAATTCATCGGCAGAAACCCTAGGTCTATATCAGCTATGGTGTCTCTATTAATTCCATTTGGAAGCATTGAAAGACTCTCGAAGGGATTGCTCCAATTCATATATGGCTTGTCACAGGATGTCTAGACAGAAGTTTCGAGTTAGATATCAGAAGTCAATTCGCATCCCTAGTAGCCTTAGGCTCCTATAGGCAAGTATCTCATGAAGATCTTATGACCTTAGCCAGCATCAGGTTCTGGCAATACTTAAGGTATGCCTTGTATAGACCTAAGGCCCCTCCCAACACCCATAAATGCTCATATCCTTTTGCCAGATGTCCCATGCCATTTTGGTATCCCATATCATGTCGCCGCATGTCCCGTATCAAATTGTCGCACATCCGATACCAGTAACGCCGGCTATCCTTATAATCTGTAGCTATGATGAAAATAACCACTGCAGCTACTGACGAGGGCCTGTTATTGTAGATTGTAAGAGCCTCTCCAAGGAAAACCGGTTGTCATCCGTTAGACGATCTGCCTGTTTCTTCGAAACATGCTCAACTTTGACCTTCAGCAGGCACCTAAGAGCAAGGAGCTCATCAATCCCAAGCGCGTCTCCTAGAAAGTATGTCTTTCTCTGCTGGAAGAACTTGAATAATGCCTGCGCTCGCGGTGTGTAGCACCTGGTCGTGTTTTTTGAGACGATGACGACAAGTTGGTCGAGCTTGGCTTGGCGTAATTGGGCGATGCCATGAGCAGACAAGGGGCCACACCAGTGGAATTTGACATATCGTATGGACTGGTTTAAGAGTGCGTTGCGTTTTAAGATGTGGAACATCCTACACGCACAGGAAAAGTGGAACATCTGCAGCACAATGTTAGTTGACTAGAGATAACACTTTCCTCAAGAGAATCTGTCTAGCAGGGTTACACACCTGAGTACGGTAGAAGTGTTCCAATACCTCATCACGCATTCTCTTGCTGGTAAAGGCGAGAGAAATGTCCTTCACCGGGGAAGTGAGAGTGTATTTCGGGCGCTCAAGAGGAGTACAGGGGCAGACTCTCTCATCCGAATTAGGGATAACAACAGTAAGAGGTTTTTTGTTGCCGAGATGGTTGAAATTGTCAAGATAAAAATCATAGATCCGGTGCCGGATCTCGGTTGGCAACTTCAAGAAAGAAGGGAAGCCGTTGATTTTTGGTAGAAGACCTTGCAGGCATTAGCAACAGTTACAATGGTTCGTGTACTATATATCCCGAAGTAGCTGGCTCTCCGGGAATTGCAAATGATCAGTAGGACATGATACATACTGGAAATCTTAAGCATTTCTCCACAGCTGTCAATTATTGACATGCAATATTGCCACTCGTCCGGCTGCTTGCTGATCATTTCGGCACATTTGTTCATAGTGTCAACAAGCGCCTGATGGTTCTTGGGTGACAGTCGAATCAGACGGCCTAACTCTGCCTCATCGATCATGCAGGCTCCGAAATCGTCATATGCCTTCAGCATTCGCTGGCCATTACGACAGATGCCGTAGCTGTGGAGGCGGTTGAGCATTCGCAACTCGAAATAATTAGGCATTGTGGCGAAGAAATCTTCGGAGCCAGTATACAGGCTTGACTCTAGGGAGACCGCAGTTGGCGAGGCCACTTGTAGAATGACCTCTAAGCAAGGTGTCTGTGAATTCCCACACCCTGGGTCTAAGCCCAGAGGTGCAAGCTGGTATTCACTCAAGACTGGATGAAAAAAGGACACCAATCGAAGTGCGTAGTCACGAACCTCTGGAAGGCAGGTAGTGCAATTCAATTGCTATCGATTGTAAGTGAGGATATGAGGGTTGGCAGTGGAAATGCTTACCAAGTTGACTCCGAGGGGAAGCACGCGTTACGACAACAAGGCGGCAACGGGGTGATGATAGGGAACTAGCAACAAGCCCAACGCTGGAATAAGATTTGTGTGAATGCCAAACGCATTGAGAAGCGAAGTACTCTCAGCACGGTCGAATTCGTAACGAAATTGGCAGAAGGCTAATGCGTGGACGATGCAGTTTGGCAGATGGGCTTTGTTGCGCACCAAAGGATGGAGGTGGGTGCTATGTAGGTTTATATCGAAAGCCTATGCCACAATAAAGCGCTGACGATAAGCATATGCCAATCAATCTGCCTATTGTGACCGGTTGCTGCTTGAATTGCTATGGTAGTTGCGTGAATAGATCGATACACGCGGAAGGAGGTAGGTACGTATCTCAGAGCTGTGCACAAATCAAATCAAATCTTAGATAGGCGAATGATATCCTCTCATTTTCTTAGCTCTTGTGAGCATGCTCTTTGTATATATCGTTGCGGTTTGCTTGTTTGCCCTTACTGTGTCTCGTGGATGAGAATCATACTGGGAGGAGAGCCTTCGTTCTATTGTAGATCCGATTTTCACTTTAGATATTGCCAAGTGATTCACCAAGACGGAATGCAAAGAGAGTAATTGTGTACCAAGTCGAAAGTACTTCCGTCCGGAAACCAATGTCGTCCCAAAACTCGAGATGGGAATACAGAGCGAAACTCTCATTGAAGCAACACATCTCGGTACTCCATGGGCAAGGCTGGTAAGCATGTTGTGCAGTCTATTGTTAGCCCAATTGTCACAAGGGACAATCAAGATCTTAGTGGGGATACCAGACTTGGTGAACTGATGTCAAGTCGGTGCTTGGAGAATACAGCTTCGCTGCTAGTAGACCTTTGCTAAGGTCGATATCAGCTTGAGATGCAGTCAAGGGCTTCCAGCTAAGGTAGAACGTATACCTAGGTACTTGATGATCGATTGGACGATTCAAATGGTCAGATAACTATCAATTGGCTAATCCAATAGAATGGAACGCCCTAGACTAGATTAAACAGTCTCGTAACTCTGTCGATAGGGCAGCAGAAGGTTGAGAAAGGAAGTCTCTATAATGATAGAACACAGAGCATATCCAGGGCGTGTAGAATTTTCGAAATAGGAGACGATATAGTCTAGCAGCATATTAAAGGTTAGCAACATTTCTGAGTAGGAGCATAGCAGATCCTGGGGGAAGAGCCTCTTAGGTATAACTCACTATAGGAAACAACGATGAACATGCTTATGTCACCTTTAGAGAGTTCCAAAATAGATAATTTAAGTAAACGCAGACAGCCCATATGGTATTTTTGATAACTAACTAGGTATCAATTTGAATTATTCCAGAACCTCCATCGAATATTTGAAGGTATCAAGGACAGGCCTTGCGAAACTTTGGAGGCGAGAATTCACCCCATCCAATATCAGCATGAGCTTGAAGTTTCGATGTCATCAGAAGTCAGCCAAGATCTAAAGACCTCCGTCAGCTGTGGCCAGGCCAAGTATATAGAGCGCGTTAGGTTCGATTCCTAACAGCGTTATTGGTATTCGCTCTATTAGCTCATTTCCGTCTACCTGAATCATAAGGGTAGTAGCTTCATAGTAAGTACTTAGTCTTTCATGTCTAACTCATGGTCGTACATAACTTGGGGTCGTGAATATAAGGTTGATTATAGATGGGGTAGCAAACATGAAGATGTGGTGATATATACCTAGGTATATGTCGGCAGATATGGGGGTGGTATTGGCCTTGTATTAGCTACTGTGGGGGTACAGGAGGCTAGTACTGCTTATAAGCAAATTACACACAAAGCACACTGAATCTGAGTGCTCTATAGGTGCTGTAAGCACCTTCCGGCACTCCCCCTTTGTCACATGACCTTTGAGTCCTTACAGCTGCTCACAGTATGTCACAATATATGAGGTTCAAGGGGGCTTAGAAAAGGGCATCGCATTATGGAATTCTCAAAGGGGAAATAGAAGAAGCAGAAGTGCATCCAAATCACATACAAGGTATACCATGACCGGAACACGGATGGCGGTAAAATATCTCTTTATAGCGCGCCAGCATTCCTCATATCTGGGAACCTGAGAACAAATGTGGTGATTCAACGGTTGTCCTCGAGGAGCTGTGGTTGTTCTCGAAATTGATCAATCACCTAGCTGCCTAGGGGTCTCATATGCCATCTCGCAGTCCGGGCCTCGATTTCATTCAAAGTGACCTAGAAACGAAGGGACCAGATATAGTGCTATCGGTTCTAAGCCACTCCTATTGCACAGGTTATTATTTCTTTGAATATATACAAGAGGGCCAAGAACGCAACTAGTGTAGCATTTAATTACGAATTTCCAAAGCATGTAGCTAGTGCCTCAGCACTATTTGACCATAGGTGCTCGCGAGTGTGATGATATATTTTCGGTTGTTTTTGAGCATGTTGAACGTGGTTTCCAGGTTGACTTGTCATCTAGACTCCAAGCTATTATCTTCAATGTTAGGAGTAAGGGCAATATGATTGGTGATCAGAGGTTCAGATCAGTTCAGAACGATTATATGTCCTTCGCGAAAAAAATATCCAATATAATAATTGACTTCAATGTACTATCGTCAACGAAGATGAAAATAAAAGCAAGGCGAAAAATAATAGCAAAAGACTGCAAAAAAGATGACGAGTTGGCCGCCGAAGGAGTCGAACCTCCGTTGGTCTAAGAATGTCATGTAAGAATATTTAGTAAAGATGCTTCGCTAGACCAATTCCCGAACCGGCCATTGGGATTGTTTTCTTGTTAGGGACTCTAAGGTTATCTTGGTTTATATATGATCTTCTGAGGCCAGTCGTGTGTGCAGTGGTGAGTTGTTTACCTAAAATGCGCAAAGCCTTAGTCCGGTAAACTCTATCGAGTGCTTTGACGTGGATGACTAATCAGCCCCCGATGTCGATGGTGACTATTCAAAATCAATATGTGGATGGGGACTTGGATAGCAGTTGTGAATGACTCTGTATTACCTAATA